ATCAATAGCACGATTTTCTGTTTCTATTTGGCATGCGATTAATACGCAGAAATTGACTTTAGCGTGCATATGATACGCATGTGTTTGGCATGCATATGACGCAATCAATGCTTGCAGTAGAAAAAAAGAAGTGGTGGTACTCAACCCCACTCCCCCACCCAAAAATAAATAAATACAAACTAAAGTACTAAAAATAGTACTTTTTAATTTTCTAAATTCGCAATGAATGTATATAGTGCCACAATAAATAAATAAATAAATTAATTAATTAATAATTGTTTGCAATTCAATTCACATTTATTTGTATACCACTTTTCATGGTACACTGTTGCGAAGCAGCTTCACAGAAAATGAACATTTCAGAATCAGAATTCAGAATCAGAATTAGCTTTATTCGGCAGGTGTGCGCAAACACACTAGGAATTTGTTGTGTTTTTTACCAGGTGCTCCTGGTACATACACACATGCATACAAACATACATACATACACATCTGACATGAGAACAGAAAAAACATTTAAATAGTAAGACTTAAAAAATAATGTGTATGAATCTGGAACAGTAGATTTATGTACAGATTTGTGCATTTGTACTCTATATAGAACTGTATAAATAAGAGATATCCATATGTATTTACATAATACTTGAGAAAAATTTCATTACATTTAGTAGTTTAAAGCACTTTTAATAAAAAAAAATTGCACAAGTCAATCTGCGATACCAAACAGGAACACAAGGGGACGCCAAAAGACCACTAAATGAGCTGCTTTTGACCTGACTGATCCAGAATTACTAAACCACTGACTACTGCATAAACTAAAACACCTTCACAGCCAGCATCCAGTATAAAACACTTGTACTTTTAAGCCAAATAGCTTGATGATTTTTTTTTTACTTAAGTCTGTACGTGAGTACTATTATCTCCGCCATCTCTGATGACATCGGCCATGTTTTCTCTGCATTAGGGCTGTTTTAAACTTACTGTTTGAATGCATTCGCTTACTGGATCCTTAGACTTTCCAGGAGTTTACCGGTTGATCTGATCGCAAAAAAAACCAGCTTCTTTTCATTTTTGTAATGTATTGTTTCGTTAAAATTTACTGATTTAAATGAGCGATTATTATTTTATTACTCTATGCTAGGGTGACCACCTCGCTATAGATCTGTTGCAGGACAGTAGATGTGATTTTACGGGACAATGCGGGACATGTGCGAAACAGATACGTTTATTACTGTTATGCTATGTAAATACTGATTTACATTCTTTGGCATATCCGCAGAACACTCGCGCATTTGATGCGCTCTTGCATAGGCTATATAATTGAGTTTGAGTTTGACACATGTGCTGTAGAGGAATACGGAATATAGCGCATGAGTCGTATGGACTACTTTTATGACACGTATGATGCTTTATTGTCTCTTTTAGAGCTTGGCAGCCCTGGTCACCTTTTACATTCATTGAATGGGAAAGAGAACCTTGAAATGCAGTTACATTGTGTTTATGGAAGAAATTCATATGGTGTTGAAAGACATGAGGGTGAGTCAATGACAGAAGTTTCATTTTTGGTGAACTATTGCTATATGCATTATATAATGAAACAATATTTAATAATTTTATTAATGAAATATAACTAAATGTAATTATACATTTTAATAGTGAATTCATTGTCTATAAAGATAAAGTTATGATATACTAAAGGCTGTTGACATTTAAACTGGGTCAGTAATTGTCCCTATTTATCTTATTCTTTTTTATGTCCAAACTCATTTGTAGCCTATTGTCTGCTTGGATAAACTTGGGGTTATGTGCTTTGTTTAAGAGCACACTGACATTTTCTTGGGTCATATCTTCACAGAACTGAACCTGCTATGTGTTAGCAGCTCAGAGACTTAACCATTAAACAACCACTACCTTAGCAACACTCACTTATGCATATTTTACATTGCTTAATCAGTCAGTTCATTTAAGAGAGAACATTAAATGGTTGTAAATGAGAAAACTAAAGCAATCATTTAGCCAACAATTTGAGCGATCTGATCAGTAATAGTGTATTAAATCCCATCAGAGAATGCATGGACTAGTCATGCACTTTCATAATTACCTTCAAAACACATCATAATAATGCAGTGACTCGCCATGTTTAATGAACATTCTTTCCGACATGATTTCCAGATGATTGTACAGTTATTATTAAGGTCATGGCAGCTGGAATTGAGATTAATGCTTTTCTGCACACAACAAATTATTCGTGTTATCGTTTAGTTACAAACCCCAAGCATTTTAATCAAATATTATTTAAACCCTGTTGGAAGTGATAATGTCATAGAACCACAGATGTGTGGAAATATGCAGAAATGTCATAAATGTAGTGTTTGTTCTTGATATTACTCAATATTTCATGAGGCCGACAAGTATTTAATGTGTGACTCGTGTGTGAATTGTACCCTTCAACACCCTTCACAACTAATTGACTGATCAGTATTTTCCGTGCACACGAATGCCCACACAAATGAGTTCAAGTGTCCAGAGCACCACCGAGTGGCACAAGTCGAGTACTTGTTTAGCCTTGTTCTTTATTGTAGGTCAGTCTATTAAACACCCATAAACTACAACCACACAATAGTTGTGCATGATGAAGAATATATTTGTATAGACAGGTTGTTTAGTGGCAAAATGGCAAAGCAGTAATCAGAAATGACTGTTTATTGATTAAGGATGATTAATGAAGTTTATCCAAGCAGACAATAGGCTACAAATGAGTTTGGACATAAAAAAGAATAAGATAAATAGGGACAATTACTGACCCAGTTTAAATGTCAACAGCCTTTAGTATATCATAACTTTATCTTTATAGACAATGAATTCACTATTAAAATGTATAATTACATTTAGTTATATTTCATTAATAAAATTATTAAATATTGTTTCATTATATAATGCATATAGCAATAGTTCACCAAAAATGAACTCACCCTCATGTCTTTCAACACCATATGAATTTCTTCCATAAACACAATGTAACTGCATTTCAAGGTTCTCTTTCCCATACAATGAATGTAAAAGGTGACCAGGGCTGCCAAGCTCTAAAAGAGACAATAAAGCATCATACGTCTTAATGCTTTATACGTAGAAATAAAAACAGAAATGTATGATAAAGTGCTCAATTATCAGTGGTTAAAAACTCCACTGAGCAACATACCAGCTGTAGCTGCATATATGAAAGTGTATTGTAGCAGTTTTTCACTTGTATGTTATTTTATCAGGTGTCCGCTTTCAGTTGGTCGGACAAGCGTGTGACATGCAGTCGCAGCCGGTG